TAAATGTGTGTAATAATTAGTTTGAATTACCATACACAAAGCGTTTTTTAACAGTGAATAGTGTTGTTTTTCATTTTCAGTCTATCATTTGTCCTTTTTTTGCATTATTACCTGATCTCTCACACAGAAATACAACGTAAAGCCAGAAGAAACCAAGCAAGCCATTGGAAGTAGAGCAAATTGGTGTTCCTCATGATATGGAGGTCAAATGTACATATTACAGGGTGAAATCTATGAGGGTTATCCAGAAAGTAAGGGTACAAGTTTTTTTTAAAAAAAAAACCAAAGAATGAATATATTTTAATAAAACTTGCATGGATTATAGCAAAGGTATTACATTATTTTTCCACATAAACACCATTCAGTTCAATACGTTTTGTCAGTCATGGGACGAGTTTTTGATGCCTCTGTCATAGAAGTTTCCCTCTGCCTTTTTCAGCCAGTTTGTCACTTCGATTTTCACCTCGTTGTCGTCGGAAAAGTGTTTTCCACCCAGGTGTCCCTTCAATTTAGAGAACAGATGATAGTCACTGGGTGCGAGATCAGGACTGTGAGAGGAGTGGCTTAAAACATCCCAGCCAAATGAAGTCAACAATTCTTGTGTTGCGTGAGTGGTGTGCGGATGCGCATTGTCATGAAGGAGACAAATTCTTGCCGTCAGCATCCCACAATGTTTGTTTTGGATGACTCTGTGAAGTTTCTTATATATATTCCATACCCATTTTGTCACATGATGTCTTCACATTACATACTCTCCATAAACTGAAACAATTTCACGATGAATCGCAGTAGTGTTTATGCCCTTAGCATTTAGGTAGCATATTACAGCGCAAACTTTGGACTTGGAGGGAAATGGAAGGAGGACGCTCATCTCTAACCTTCACCACAACGCCAGTCGATGAGCTACTGATGACTGGCACTGCTCATTCGCTTCCGCTGGCTTCCTGCTACATGGCAATGATACCAACTTTCCCCACGAAAATTCACTGTGAGAGCCACATGCCTTGTGACCTTACTTTCTGGATAATCCTCATAATTGCTAGTGCCACACTCAGTAGTAAACTGATACTTCTGTAAGTCCCATAGATTCAATTGGTCGACTCTAATTTGACTTTCAACCAGGCTTTGAGCTCGGATTGTGTGGCCCTTCAAATGTTGTTGAATCAGAACACCTGTGCCAGTATAACCAATAGCGAAGTTATACTGAGAGTTGCAGTCAAGTAACATCTACAGGACCATACACTTTTGACTTTGGATTATTAAACTTCAACATTTTTTGTGAATGATTAGAACTCCCAAGAGCTTTATGCTGACCCAGGTTCAATTCACTTGAAGGTGATCATTGGAGGATTATTGTGGTGTTTTTTTTAATGTGTTTATTCTCAAACAAGAGCATAGACAGAGACATATGGCTTGGACACTCCAACAGACATCCAAGTCCACTGTCCCACCACATGGGGAAATGCTCTTGATGCTGTTCTCTTATAGATCTCAGATCCTGGACTCAGCATTCTCAAAAAACTACTTTTATTATTGTCTACTGTCCTATCTTTTTATTGTACTAAGTGAAGGACAATATATCCCAACAGGATTCACCAGGGCTGATATACAGCTTGCTTACTTACTTAGGCGATCCCTCGTTCTCCAAGTATAATGGCCTTCCAAGTGCAGTGTCTTGGCAGTGGGTACATTGGTGACTGTGGAGCTCTATTCTTGATCCACATGTTTTTCCACAGCTGGAGCCTGGGTTGTTTGATGAATTTAATTGACCACTATGAAGCCTCATAGACCTAGGGTGAATCTACACTGATTGACACTTTAATTGCCATGACTCAATGCTATGTAGTCCTGGGAGTTGTAGTTGTGCAAGGTTTTTAGTCTTTAGTCTTCTCTGCCAAATTAGTGATGCCTAATCAAACTACAACATCCATGATACCACAGCAGGGTGTCATGACAGTTAAATTGAGGTCAAACTGCATTAATTCTCAGTGTAGGTGCACCTTTTGGAATGGCAAGCATTTTCCTTTCTTGTAATGTTCTTGTTACATTTTTATTTGATGGGTTTACATTGTTAATTCTGCATTTTATTTCTTAGCAATTGGTTTTTGTATGTCTTAATTACTTTATATCTGTTTTTTGGAAGCTGTTTTGAGACCTGCTTTTGTAGGGGGAGGGAATATGACAAAGATGCTTCTTCTTTCTGCTTCTCCTCCTCTTCTTTTTGCCTGGGCCCATAACTGTCCTTTCCCATGTTGCATGCTTATACCACTCAGCCATTGAGCGTATATCTCAACACAAATCTTTGGCCTTACTTGGTACAGAAATGGTGCCACTGAGAACAAATAAGCTACATGTCTCACATCCCATGGAGTGGAGTTTAGACCCCCAGATGTAATGCCCAACCACAGCTTGATGTTAGATGTAAAACAGTGGCCAATATATTATATGGTAATTCCAATCTGAGGCCTAAATACCCCAATCTTGGAAGCCATGCAGGATGGGAGAAAATGAATGTTGGAGGCTATATTTTAGAGGAAGGAACTGGCAATACCACCTCTGACTATCTCTTGCCTATGAAAACTCTATGAAATCCATGGATTTGCCATAAAGTCAACAAGTCAACCCCGAGGCATACTACTCACATAATTTTGGTTTCTATTTAAATATGTCTAAACTTCTCTCACTGGTTTATTATTGTTTTTGATACATGTCAAAACAGACAGGTTTTAAATCAATATGTTCTGTTACATGTTCATCATCTCTCTTGCTTGGTCCATTCTTAAGGATGACCTGATACTTCCGAAACAGCTGGTGACATAACATGGTAAAAATCACAGAGCTATTTTACATGTGATTGCTTATGAAATTGCTCATGATGTCAGCCATTCTACGTGTTTTAGTTGCATTATCATATTAATGCTTGTGGAGTGCTTGGAATGCAATCATACTCTGCCACGAGTAATAGCCTATGATGATGAGTACTACATTTCCATAATGGCTAAACACATGCATATACTTTTCAAATACAATGGAATGGCTCTTCCAGATGGCATATATGTATATACCTCATTCTAGACACTAAATTGTTGAATTGCCTTCAGGTGAACTTCCTTTTCCACCACATAGTTTCTGACTCTGTGAATACTAAACACAGCTTTCCCTGTGAGTGCTGAGGAAAGCTGCCTTTCCTGAATTTCTGCCCATGCACAGCTAAATAAGTAGCTTTTGAGTATGGAGTTAAGCAGTGGAAGTGGTTTAGAAGGACCTAAATCAGATCTAACCGTGGGGAAAGAAAGGGTAGCCTTTCCTGCAAGGCTTTGAACACAACCGGACTACCAAATGACACACACATGTTAAGAGGATATGACTAACAAGTCACTAATATGTTGTGGGTTTATGCTTCTCGTTGCAATCATGAGGGTTAGAAAAACAAATACCAACAAGCTGAGATACTCCCTACCTTTTTAGCAATCCTTACCTGTCATCCTATATCCCATTTCTTTCCCTTCTTTCCCAATTCCTGTGTCATTCATTCAGTTACTCAAGCCTAGATGACATGTGGATTTTAACTCAATTGCTTGTCATTTTCACAATCAGCTAAGTTATAATTTGGGGGTGGTGGCAGGATTGCCACAATGGAGTAGCAACTCGCTAGGCAGAAATGGAGACCAAGGTGCACTTTTCTACTGTTGAAATCAATGTATCACAAGGGCTAAAGAAGTCCCGTATCTCCATACTATGAAAACTAGAGTTGTTAAGAAACAAAAGCAGAAACCTTCATTGCACAATAAAGCAAAACATCAGCATCTGAGATGACAGGGGGACCTTTAATGGGGAACAACTGGACTAAACCAGGACTCCACATTTGGGTTTATTTACTAACTAAAGAAACTGATTTATTGACCTTCTCTGGACCTCTGACCACCTCTCTTCACTGGGATATTTGACCTGGATAGCTATGATAGGTACCATAAAGCCTGGAAGGCCTGAACTAATCTTGTACCCATATGGAACATTTATTGACCATATCATAAGACAACAGGAATTATTCAGGACAAAGGTGATTATGTTTATTATTGTTTTTGTAGAGATCCCTTCATTCTTGAGAAGACTCACATTTTTCAAAGGTGAGTCAAAGAACTCTCACAGCAGTATGTGTGAAAAAGATATTAGAGTCCTTGTAGACAACAAGTTAAGCATAGTCCAACAAAGTCATGCAGTGGCAAAATTAAGCCAATGGGATTTTGGCCTGCATAAAAATAGGAGTCTAGTGCCTAGATCCAGAGAAATCATGCTCCCCCTCTATTCTGCCTTGGTTAGACCACACCTGGATTACTGTGTCCAGTATTGGGCACCACAATTGAAGGGAGATGTTGACAAGCTGGAATGTGTCCAGAGGAAGGTGACTAAAATGATCAAGTGTCTGGAGAACAAGCCCTATGAGGAGCAGATTAAAGGGCTGGGCATGGGGGGGGGGGGGGGGGGGGGGGGGGGGAAATTTTTTTTAAGCATTAATGGTTTATTTTTTTAAAATAAATTTTTATTTACATGCATTAACAGCTTACAGTGTAAACAGAACACAAAACAATGAACATTTTACAAACACATAACCCCACCACCAAGGCCTGAACAAGTATCCTTTCCTTTGCCATACATGTATGAGTCAACCATTAACCAAATGTCAAATCCAAAATTTCTGATCAACAAAGTCGTATTGTTTTCTTTTTTTCACTCTCTAAACCCCTGTGCCGGTAGGACTGAAGACCGACGGGTCGCAGGTTCAAATCCGGGGAGAGGCGGATGAGCTCCCTTTATCAGCTCCAGCTCCTCATGCGGGGACATGAGAGAAGCCTCCCACAAGGATGATAAAAAAATATCAAAATCATCCAGGCATCCCCTGGGCAACGTCCTTGCAGACGGCCAATTCTCTCACACCAGAAGCGACTTGCAGTTTCTCAAGATGCTCCTGACATGACAAAAAAAACAACATATTTAATAAAAACTGACCAGTATGAATCAAAATCTGATCTGTTAGTTTCCCTCGTGAACACCCTCATTTCCATTGATAGTTTATCATTTAAGGCTACGTTCCATACCATGCTTCCAGCATGAGAATAATTACTATTTTCCAATTCCTTGTGATTGTAAGTCTTGCCACTGTGAGTAAAATAATCACCAATTCTTTCTTTTTCATTTCTAAATTCAACTTTGTGACGTCCATTAGTAATGCTAACCTCACATCCAGAGTGATGTTAAGTCCTATAATGTTATCTATTTCAATAAATATGTTGTTCCAAAAACTCTTCAACTGGGGCATTCCCACCATAAATGAAAGTATGTCCCTTTGTACATGCCATATCTCCAGCAGATATGCTTTGCTTACTATCTATCAGCTTTAGTTTAACCGGAGTTGTATACCATCTTCATATGACTTCGTACACATTTTCTTTTAAACTTATCGACAGATTCTTAACCACTCTCCACATTAGAAACCCTTTCCAATCAAAGTCCATCAGAGGCCCGAGGTCTCCTTTCCAAACCTTTTCTAACAGCTTCAGCCCTATTTTTTCACCTATTAATCCATTGTATATTTTCCCAATTAACCCTTCCTTGCTTTTTAAGTGTCCTTAGCCATTCATCATACAACTCTCTACATTTGGGATTTTTACCTAAGCAGTCCTTTCCCCAACTGTATAGCTGTTGCCTCTCAAACCAATTCAGGACACCTTCTTCTTCTAACTTATTAAACTTGCCCATCGAATTTTGCATCCATTTCTTCCAAGAAAGAGCAGTTTCCACCTCCACTATTTTTTATACTTAAGTTTAATTCTCAGGTCTTCTGGAAACTTTTCCAGTAAAACTATTGGGGTTAGGGGGGAACTCCTGGAAATATCTTGTTTTTGTTTTTTTTAACTTAACCCATGTCTCTATAACATCTTTAGCCAGGTTATTTTTACGCCCCTTAATTACTTTGCCTGTTTTTTGACATGAAAAACATTTCCCCATGATCTCTTTGCCAACATTTACCTTCCAGTTCTTGCCAGATTAATTTAGGTTCCAGTTCCTGCCAGATTAATTTAAGGCTGGGCATGTTTAACCTGCACAAGAGAAGGCTGAGAGGAGCCATGAGGAGGGCCATGTATAAATATGTGAGGGGAAGTCATAGGGAGGAGGGATGTTTTCTGTTGCCATGGAGACCTAGGATGCGGAACAATGACTTCAAACTACAGGAAAGGAGATTCCACCTGAACATGAGGAAGAACTTCCTGAGTGTGAGAGCTGTTCAGCAGTGGAACTCTCTGCCCCAGAGTGTGGCGGAGGCTCCTTCTTTGGAGGCTTTTAAATAAAGGCTGGATGTCCATCTGCCGGGGTGCTTTGAATGCAATTTTCCTGCTTATTGGTAGGGGGTTGGACTGGATGGCCCACATGGTCTCTTCCAACTCTGTGATTCTATGAAACTATCATCTTAACTATTGTCATAACTTACTTCCTTGAGATACTATCCCCAAATCAGGGATGAGCAATGTATGGCCCTCCAGATGTTGTTGGACGGCATCCCTTATTATTAATGACACTAAAAAGGGTGATGGAGATTGCAGTTGTAAAACATCTGGATGGCTACAAGTCACCCATCCCTGGTCTAATTCCTAGTCTTGAAACCCTGAAAGTATCACCATACCTAACCCAATATATTGTGTTCCTTTCCCTCATTATTTAATACAGTCTGGAAACAGCCATAACTCAAGTCTTCTCCATGTCTTAAGATGTCTCCTCTGATGTTACTGGTCCAGACTGAGATAGAGCTAGCTTCTTTAAATCCGCCTCTGAGGGCTGTGTAGGGCAGTGCTCCCCTTCTTTTGCATCTGCAGCTTTAGTTTTAGATTTTTCCTCTGCTGCCGAGGTGGGCATCATGGTATACCGGGTGCTGATAGTACGCCCTGAAATACACCGATATTCTGCTTCTTCTTTCCTTTCTTTCCCATTCTGGGAAATAGTGAGCTCCACTGGGACTGAAGTTGTGGTCTCTTTCTTGATCACGTGGATAGTGAGCTGAGTGTGTGGCGGGATCTTAGCAGGGAGCAGAACCTCGACCTTCTCATTGGTGGTGATGGACTCCTGCTTCCCCTTCTTCACCTTAAAGACATTGGAACCTCCCAATGTGACCTGGAACGAGAGGCCAAGTTTTAGGGTCGTGGTATTGCTGAAGTGGAAGCTCTGGAAAACGGTAGCTGTGTATTCCCTGCAGGTGGTGGCAGTGAATGCTTGCTCATATTCGGTACAGTTGGTTCCCACAATCTCATCGATCAGGACATCTCTTTCATCCTCTACCTTTTTCTTGTCCCAAAATAGCTTTGTGGTGATGATAGGGCACCCAGGCTGTAAGGGCCTCAGGTGAGAGACACTATCATCAAAGTTGAGCTCTGTTTTGTAGTCACGAATACGCTCCCCAGGCCAGGCAACGTGATACCATCCACCCCGGTTGGCGTTTTTGTACAAGAGCCACACTCCTCTTTGTACCACATGGGAGGAGACGCAATCGTTGAAGTAGCCATAAGCAAGGTTGGTCTCCTCCTGCACCACCTTTCTTTGGCCCTCATAGTTGGGACACTCGTACAGGGTGATCAGGGGCTCAGAGAGATCATGGTGAACCAGCCGGAGGGATGAGATTTTGTTGTTCATGTCAATCTCGCTGTAATTCCCTTCCTCAAAAGCAAAACCATCTCCTTCGAACTTGGCGGATTTGTAGGCCACCCAAGGCTGCCCAATCACCCTCAGAGAGGAGATGCAATCCCCAAAATCCAACGCATGCAGGTCAGGGATGTCGCTGGTGAACTCTTTGCTAAGCCCATCAAAGTTGGCCTTGTCATATACAATGATCTTGTTCACGCAGGACGTTGGTGAGGACATGGCTATGCTTCTCTAGCAGCTTCTTCCAGGGAAAGTTGGAATCCAAAATTGTCTCAGGCCTAAACTGATAGAGAGAAATGATAAAATATAGTTAATTTCTTGGCTGTATTACAAAGTTTCCACATAGAGAGTAGAATCTTAGGACTTTATCAGGTGGAGTGGAGAAAAATGGGGGGAAACAGAGGGAACCGTTTTACCCAGTTCCCTCCTGTCTTTCTCTGTCTTGTGGGATGGCCAGCCACGTCACGTCCTTACTATGTTGATGACCATCTTTCTCCTGCTATCTCCATCTTCAAGCTGTTTGAAGAAGGATGTAGGGCTCTGTTTCTATGTGCTGCGGAAACTGAGTCCCACAGAGTCCCACCGGAAGCGCCCTTACGTCATGTGATGACCTCCTTGGGACTCCCATGGGGATCTGTTTCTGCAGTGTATGGAAACAGAGCCCTATTTATTTATCATGTCATCAGCAACCATACCATTGGATTACATTTCTAACAGAACAAAACAAACAATCAGATTTTAAAAAAAACAAAAAAACCCACATGACATGAGATATGAGAGAAGCCTCCTCGCAGGATTGCAAGACATCCGGGCGTCCCCTGGGCAACGTCTTCGTAGACGGCTGATTCTCTCGCCTCAGAACCAACCAGAAGCAACTTGAAGCATGCAAGCAAGCAAGCAAGCAAAACATCAGAGCCCTACACACATATGATGAGGTCCTAGCATCTTCTTCAAGGGTGGGCTACTACTGAGTATATATGGACTGGGAAATTGCAGTGATGTTGACTCTCCCTAAAGCAGTGTTTCTCAAACTGGGAGTTGGGACCCCTTGGGGTGGGGGTTGTGAGATGGTTTCAGAGGGGCCGTGAAAGACCATCAGAAAACACATATTTCTGATGTTCTTAGGAACCCCTCTGGCAGAGAAGGCTGAGGATCTCTCCATCTGTCCTTCTCTTGCTTTTTGGAAACAGACAGTGAGTCCTCCCAACAAAAGCCCTCCTCTGCTGTCATTGGCCGGCCTCTCAGCCAAGGGGAGGGCTCTTTCTGAGACCCCAAGCGAAGAGGGAAGAGCAGGCATGTTTGGTGCATGGCAGCATGGTGCACATGTGCGGGCAAGGAAGAGCGTGTGAGGCTGAAGGGAGGTTTATGCCAGTGAGTCCCTTTATAGCATGGGGGTCTCTGTGTGGGAAGTTTGGCCCAATTCTATTGTTGGTGGGGTTCAGAATGCTATTTAATTATAGGTGAACTATAAATCTCAGCAACTACAGCTCCACCAGTGTTCACCTTTGGGCATATTGAGTATTCTTGCCAAGTTTGGTGCAGATCCATCATCGTTTGAGTCCACAGTGATCTTTGGATGTAGGTGAACTACAACTTCGAAACTCATGCCAATGCCCACCAAACCCTTCCAATATTTCCTGTTGGTTATGGGAATTCTGTGTGCCAAGTTTGGTTCAATTCCATTATCGGTGCTCTTTAATTGTAGGTGAACTATAAATCCCAGCAACTACAACTCCCAAATGACAAGCTCAATCCCCTCCTCCAACTCCACTAGTACTCAGATTTGGGCATATGGGGTATCTGTGCCAAATTTGATCCAGTAAATGAAAATACATCCTGCATATCAAATATCTACATTACAATTCATAACAGTAGCAAAATTACAGTTATGAAGTAGCAACTAAAATAATGTTATAGTTGCGGGGTCACCACAACATGAGGAACTGTATTAAGGGGTCGCAGCATTAGGAAGGTTGAGAAACACTGACTTAAAGGGATACGTGCAGAGAGGGGAAAATGAGGTCTTTGCCCCTCCAATATAAATTCTGCCCCTAAAGAAATATCCCCCAAATTTCTAGCATTGTAGAAACATAAATACAGAATACATTTTAGACAGTCAAAGAACAGGGACAGACACAGCAAAAGTCGCTTACAAGTGGGCCTTGAAATTAAGCAAAAGGTTGCAGGTTGTCAGTTTCTTGCTTAATCCTTCAGTATTCACGTTCATCTGACAAAAGCTTATGGTTCATCCTTTGTTACCTTTGTCCCCCTTTCCTCCTTTGTTGTGTCTCGTGTTGTTGAGTGGTAAGATTAGAGACTGCACGGTGCCATGATAGCATTTCGGCTCTTCGCACCATTCACAAGGATTATGTTTCAAGCATCAAGCATTTTACTTCAATCCACCTTTAAAAGCCAAATATCAGAAAGACTGGACCCAAATAGTTCTTGCTGTCTTAAAAGGAGATCATAAAGCCAACTATACAAATCAATGTTTTTACTGTGGTAATGGCATTCACAGAAACGTTGAGTGACTTTTATCATAAAAATTTCCAATCTTCCAGAAGTGCATATTTAACAACGAAGAGGATGTTGCAATGCAGTGATGCAGTGATATCGATTGCTAGTGGAGAGTGATGACTATGGTCTCAAATCCAGTTCTCAGAATGGCTTCGGATTACGATCTTGGATTATGTGATTTTAATGTTTATACTAAGTTTTAATTCTATGTCTTAATGTTTAAATGCTTATTTATGTCCCATGTTTTAATGTGGTTAATGGTTTTTAATTTATAGTGATATGTTATTGTTTAGATATTATGCTTTGGTTTTTCATATGTATGTTTGGCACTGAATTTTTCCATTATTATGTTGGAAACCGCTTTGAGTCCACCCAGGGTTGAGAAACGCGGTAGAAAATGCAGTAAATAAATAAATATGAAGGCAGAAGCAATAAGATCCAACATCCTGTAAATTTCTAAATTAGGAATGTGCAACTGCAGAAGGCATGGGGTCCATTTTTGTTCCCTTCTCCTGTCCAGCGGGCCACAGCAATGAGTTCTAAGTATGATTTTGTAAGGTTTTAGACCAACTTCTCTCTCCTTTTTGAGTTTTGGGAAAGTTTGGGAGATTTTGCAAGCTTAGGAGAAAAAAACCCCCACTGTATTTTAAACACTTTGGGCCATCTGAAGGCAAAAGAAGTCTGAAAAACATTCACATTTTTTCTGATGGAGCTGAGATACGAAAGGGCCTCAAGGCGTCCAACAGCAATTAGCAGTAGATAGAACCACACGATCACAGAATCTTTGGGATGCTTAGAGATAAGGCGTTGAATTAGTTTCATCTACAGAATCCATTCTTTTTTTATTTTAAGCACATGTCCAAATGCCATAAAAGAAACCCACACTGTATGAAGAATCAAGCACAAGGCATATTTTGCGCTTTTTTCATACTCAGTCTTGCTAGTATGAATTTGAAGGAATTCCTATTTGCTATTTGACCATGATTCATGGTGCCTTGTTCAATAACCAAATCACTTGTCTATTTCTCTCACTATATTGAACTGAAGGCCCCAGTGGTGCAATGGATTAAACCCTTGTGCCAGCTGAGCTGCTGACCAAAAGGTTGGTGGTTCGAATCTGGGGAGCGGGGTGAGCTCCCATCTGTCAGCTCCAGCTTCACACGCAGGGACATGAGAGAGGCCTTCCATAAGGATGTCCCCTGGGCAATTCTCTCACACTTGAACTGACTTGCAGTTTCTCAAGTCTCTCCTGACCCCCCCCAAAAAACCCTATATTGAACTGATACCTACCAAACAGTGTCTCCCAGAACATGCCTTGCATCCCAAAAAATGCCGGCTACATATACATTCCTTTGAACTATCTCCAATGCTTCCTAAGCCCCTTCCCTGAAATTTTCAATACAATCCGCTATTAGCTTTCCAAATGCTGATGTATATTTTTCAGCCAGATTCATATTTTGTGTCCAATAGAACCTGCCAAAACACTTTCCTCACTGCTTTGAGGAGAGATCCAGAGTGTCTTGTGTTCATAATTCCTGACTATATTTCCTTTTCCGCACTGCTTTTTCTGACTCTTGTTACTGCAAAAAAATCCATGATGGTGGAAAGAAAGAATAATTCTATGCAATCCTTTAACCAGCAGTCCTCCAAGCCGTCTTCTCAGAAGTTTCCCTGGTCATAGGATCCCCAATATGGAGCAGTGCACCTTATTACTATTTTAATTATAGTAATTATTCCTGAAATTGCACGTATGCTCATGAACCTGTGTTCACTCTAGGATTTTCTCTTGGTGCTGTACCATCCACCAATATAATATAATATAATATAATATAATATAATATAAATGGAATAATAGGTGGCTCATAACTTTCTCTTTTATGATAATTTCAAGTTTAAAAAGTGCAAACTGCAATGCACTCTCAGCTGCAATGATGACCTCCTCCTGTCTCCTAATAGGATTTCCTCCAGTGTAATCCTGTAGCTGCCCCTGTAACCTAATATACATCACAAGTGGGGGAAGACGATTTAATCCTCATGACAGATGTAAACCCATTTGTCCTGTGTTGCAACGCTTGGATTGAAGCAGGAATTTCTGAAGCTATGTCACTGACTTGTAAGCCAACTTCCTCAGGGCCAAAGGAAAAGCTGGGAAGCACCCAACTCCACCCTACTTTGCAAGGGATCAAAGACCTTTTATTTGTGTTGGTAAATCTCTATCCAGAGCCAACCCAAGATAGCTTTCTGTCTGAAGTCAGGCAGCAGTTAGTCCTTTTACCAAGCTTGCTCAAGCATCATTGTTCACAAAGCAAGCCAGATTATTTTGGCACTTGAAATAAAACCAGAAGCAGGAAAGATTATAATATCAACTAGGAGTTTCCAATCCTTATATTACTATTTTGCATTGTGTTGCTATCCTACATTATTATTACAACATTGGAAGGCTTAGAAGAGAATTGACAAAAGCATAAAGGCAGATTTAAATTAAGGTTTTATCAACCTGTATAACTAACTTCACCACTTGATAATCCACTCTACCTCTCCGCCTCTCCCTTTTATCATCTCTAGTACATTATATCTAATGCTTTTTTTCTACTTTTTTTTCATGTGAGGAGCAACTTGAGAAACTCAAGTCGCTTCTGGTGTGAGAGAATTGTCCGCCTGCAAGGACTTGCTTAGGGGACTCCAGAATGTTTGATGTTTTACCATTCTTGTGAGAGGCTTCTCTTGTGTCCCTACATGGGGAGCTGGAGCTGACAGAGGGAGCTC